CAAAGTCTGATGGAATGTTAAGGGAAGCTTAACTTTTCACTACTATTGGAAGAGGTGCTTCTGATTACATTCCAGATTGCTTTGTACTTTCTTTTTTGCTCATAGAGTTTTCAATAGTTACCATTCATGGATGAGCCAGTTCAACTCCACTTATCAGGCAGAAGTTATACAATTGCAGGTCTTTCCCCTCATTCCCTCCCTCCCTTGCTACATTAAACAAAATTGATGCTGTATGCAATCTAGGGGAAAATTTCTTTTGGAACAGAGAAAGTACAACAGTGCATTATTTGGTAGTTGCAACCTATTAGATCAGGTCACCCGACCTTGCCTGGCTGCCTTGTAGGTAATATTCTTGCCCACACAAACAACATATTGTGTGACAGACAGGAGATCCAAAGATGATATATATGAATTATTTTAATGACACACGATAATGTTACAGAATGTTAACATGCCTCTTACAGTTTTCTAGTGCTCATTCCATTGAGCATTTATGGTAAAACCAAGAAAAACACCTACTTTTAAGCCTGAGCTTTAATGATTTATAACAATGGGAGTAAAGGTAACTGTGAGCCTCCTCAATGTGTTCTTACTTCAACAGCTATTCAATATACATATGATGCCAGGCGCACTTTGAGTGATATGGAGACCCATAGGAGGAAACTGCACCATTTATTCTTTTAATCCATCTCTTGTCATTCCACCCCACACCTCTGAAAACTCATACCATTGCATCCCATCTCCGGTCACCAAAAGTTCCCACTTGGTGATCTGGGCCATTAGACACCAAAAACGCATAGATCCTTTGATATTGTGGCCAGCTGGGCTTAACGAATGGAGTCATGGAGGAGAGAAGAAGCCACAGTTCAGTACTGCTGCCAACAGATATATTTCCTTTTATGGAGGCCCTACATTCAAAGAAGTGCTTAGTAGGTGGTACACAGCTGCAGTCCGATGTCATACCATCTTCTTCATCACATTACCCCAGGTGTTGGATGCATCACTCTCACCATTTCAAGAGTGACAGTGGATCTTGCCTGTGGGAAGGGAAGCATGAGAGGAATGTCCTCAATTATGATCCCCTCCCTCTATTGCATTCCCTGTTTCTCTCTATTACATCATCTCTGAAACCCAACATGATATTAGTGAAAGAGTGCTCACAGAGAAGGTTAATATTTTGGGTTGCTCTTCATCCCTGCTAAGTATATTCTATTCTAGCAAATTTATTAACATTTTTGCTAATTGTTCAGTGCTAGTGTTAATGGAATGAACCAGCAGTAAAAGGTTTTCAGAGAAAAAATAGTATATTTTGTTAGAAAATGAGAGTTGAAAAATCACATGACCCTTTAGAACACATACACCAATCTTCAGCTTTATACATCCATACAATGACAACTAACAACCCACTATTTCTACCATAAAGATGATAATTCTCCATGGTTCCTTCATGCGTTTCCTCACTGATTGCAATGGATTCCTTCTTACTGTTTATCTTTTTGAGGGAGCATTTTCTTCTGGGGATGATTAATGGACTGTTAATTGCTCTCTGAAAGACCTTTAACCATATTTCATCACTTGCAGTGCACTATGGTCAAGTGGCAAACAATAAGAAAGAGGTAATACACTCTATTACATCACATGACTAACAATGAAGGTACAGGCCAGGTATGCATAGGTTTGGGGAAATTTTATATTGAAATAAGGTGAATGCTCATTTGAAAATACATTTTCTGTTTATTGATAAATAAAATACAAGTTATGCAAAATAAAAACCTAAAGGCCTGGCAGTTATTTGTTTATGTTCTGTGCAGCTCTGTGAGTTGCCTGATGTTAGAACGCTTTATAAACTAAACTATTTGAAGAACAGGGGGATACTGCCTCTATGCTTGAGACTGACTTGACTTATCTTTATAGGTTAACTTTCCTAGAACACTTTCTTGGATTCCTTTCAATTTTTTTTTTTTTTTTATATTTGAGCCTGGCTGGGAAGGGAATAATTACCTCCATTATCTCCATTGTGTTCTTTGACACAACCTTCCTTTTGATGTGATGTTTTGTTTGAAACGGTATCACAATTTGCACCACTCCTGTGTCTTCCTGTTTGTTTGCTGTTTGTTTATTCAATTTCGTCCTTCTGAGTAAAATCACTGAATTTGGATTTTTTTAATTAAATTCATCAATTTCCAGTCATTTCACTTATTTAAGATCATTCAGAATCATAATCCTGTTTCTTCTGTTTCTTCAAGTTTTATATTACCCACCTATTTTCAGAATGTCTTCTCTATACCTAAGATTTTTAAATGAAAATTTAGAAATCTACTGGTCCAAAAAGAAACAACCTGGGCTGGACACAGGTGACATGTTCTCCCAACTCACAACCCATTATTCATGACTCCTGTTTATATGTTTTGAAAATATCTGTTCTCTCACTTAATTAATGATAAATCATATTTCCTTAGTTTAGAGATGAGAGCATCCTGTGTGACTGTCAAAAATTTTGTTCAATATTTCAATCCTCTCTTCTCATTCTCTGAGATAATTACTTTTATGAGAAGGTAACTAGTTTGCTTTGACGTGAGTTGTGATGGAAACTTGCAGAACAGCTGCTTCCTATCACTGAGTTATTCTACAGATGCTCTTAGATTGTTTAGTAATGAATTAAACAAAATACTTCTCCTGATACCAGAGTTCAGCTGTTTTATGTTTTCTCAACTACGGCATTAGTATTTTTTTCAGTCCTCTTGTGCCTCACTTGGCCTTCATGAGCTTTTGAAGATAATCACTAAAATGTGTAAGTGAACTGGCTAGTGTTTTAGGGATCTTATCAGATCATGATGGTATGAACACTGAACACTCTATTTAATTCCTTTAAAAAAAAAAAAAAAAAATCTGTTTTTCTGGCCTATGTTCCCACCTTGGCTTATATTGCTTGTAAGTAGTATGAGGGATGTGGTCACAATAAACCTCTCTTTGTGATGGTCAAAGCAACAAATTGTATATAAAACTCCAATTACAATTTATAATCAACACAGCTGTAGTGAGACATCTTGTTACTCTGTTTCTCCAAAAAAGATGTAAAATAAATCTTTTTTTAATCCATTTTCAAAGCAAAAAAGGATTTTTTTTTAATTTTTTTTTCCCCCATGGGGGGGAAAAAGTCCTATGCAGGACTTACTTTGATTAATTAAGTAAAAATTGTGAAACCTTCTCAAATCAAGAGCAACAACTCAATTTCCCATCACCTCTCAAAAAATGGAAAAGAAATCATCTCCACTGGGCTTGAATGCATGGCTTCTGCTTGTTCTGAAAGATGATTGAGGGATTCTGAATAAAAAATTAGTGAAGTGTAATGTCCTCAAAGTAATGTGAATTTTTCATTGATTTATTTAATGTGTCTTCATATAATTATGGAAGTATCAGAAGAAATTATGATCTGTATTCATAGTCTTATGACTATCTTCATTTAATGAATATTTTAACATATGGAGTATGGACAGCCAGACTTAGGCCTAAGAGCAGCAGAATATATGGCCATACACTGCCTGAATGTGAAACATGTTCATCTGATATTTGTTAAGCTGTAGTGATATTTCTTTTGGAAGAGAATTGTGTTTTGTAGGCCTCTCACTAGTAATATGCTTTCATGAAAGGTTAAAGGTAAACATAATGGAAATCATAACACAAAAAAATGTGACGTCCATTTCTTAGGGAATTTTGTAAGCATGCAGGTCATGACCTGAATAAAGAATTCTGAAGCCAAATCTTTCATTTCTTATGCCTGCAAAGCTTCCACTGGCAGCAAATTCTGGATTCATGAATCACACATTATCAGATGCTTCATTTCATCCCAACAGATGAAACATTTGATTTTTTTTTTTTTTATTTTTTTTTTTGCATAATAGAATAATCTAGAAGTCACCCAGCATCCAAGAATATTTCTGAATTCATTTAAATATGAAGATTAGAGAGAAAAATGAAAGTACCTGATTTTGATCGAATGTTACCATGAGAACTTCAGTGCCTTTAAAAGACATATTATTATCAAAAATTATATTGCCATTTTACAAGAATTACTATAAAGTTTTAAAATTAAGCAGAGTAACAAAAGACACACCTAATCTGTGATACATTCAATGAAATTGGCAAGATTAGAAAAGACTGTCAACGATCTTGCTGAAGTCGTTGAACACTTGTCCGTTTCTTTATCAGCTCCACTGAGCAGCAACTTCCCTGCCAAATTTTCAGACATATTCATCAATTTAAGTTGTGATTTGCTAATTTAGTGACCAAGCATTTAAATCATAGAAAAAAAATTAAGATATAATTAAGTGCTATTTATTTGACTAACATAGGTGCAACTTCAGTACATCATGCTACAAAACCCGTTTTACCTTGCACCGACTTAAAAGTAAATTCTATCTAATATTTTCTTATGTTATGTGATAATCATTAAGTTTACATTTTTAGAAAATGTAAATATTTTAATACATTACAACCATCATGTTGTATTCAACAGAAAAAGAAAGCTTTTTTTTTCGTCATCATTGCTTTAAAATATAAGCATAAATCTTACAATCAATCAGAAGTTTAAGACTTCAGGAATACCTCAGAGAATCCATATGTTTTAAACTTATTTAAAATTCTGAGTGGAAATGTGGGCATATTCAGCTACTTGTAGCAATTATTTCAACAGCAAAATAGATGAATCTTATTAAAATTATGTAATTACCCAAATAACCATCCTTGATTGGAAGAAAAGTATTTAAGTATTTATATGTAAATGCATTCTGAATTATATATAACAGAAGTGTTGTATTTTTATAAGGAAATCATGTTTACAAAGAAAAAGTATATGTATAACAATATATGAATTCTGTTTTTCTGATTTAATTTTACATTCTCAGTGTCTGGAGATCACTATTTCCTCAAAAAATAAACAAACAAAAACCAATGAATACAATTTTTGGAAAATATTTTTTATTATAAAATGTACAGTATATTGACCTTAACATTATAAAACACTGTAATGTATCAGAGTCTTGTAAAGACCAATAATTTATAAAATGAGACCAAATTCATTGTTACTCTTTCTAGTCTCATAGTCTGATTTAAAAATATATATAAAATATATATATGGATGATTTGACTGGAGCATCCGTAGTAGCTGGAAAAGGTTTGTTTGTACGTTATGGTAATTAATGTCTGCACGTAATTTTATTAAAATAGATCACTCTTATTTGCTAAATTAGTTTTCGATTTTGAAGAGCTGATAGGAGAACAAACAGAAAAGTTAGTAATCATATTCTATAAGACTAGATTATGTAAAAGCGCTGCAGGGGATAAAGAAAAGTATGTTTTCCCAAAATACTAAAGCACTTCTATCACTGCAGCTCATTTATTAGCAGTTAATACTTCTTTGGTGCTTTTAAGGTGCTTATTAAAACACGGAATAGCTTTGGACTATTGACAAAAACAGAATACTTCAGGTCTCAAATGCTACTGGGTAGCATGAAACAACACATCACATTGTCTTAACAATTTAAAGACCTTTTCCAATGTGTTAATTTAGATACATCTACTGCCTTCTTCTATTGCAGGGAAGTACTATTACGCTGAGTACAAAAGCAATGCACTTTGCATGAAAACAGAATTATTATTTTTTTTTTCCTGCCATCAGCCTTCCTGGCTTTGTTGCAAACAGTACTTTCCTCGCTGGCAGTGACTGGAACTCTAGCACTGATCCAAAGGCATTTGTTTTAGTGTTAGAATATGTGTATGTAAGTTGTTTTCGAATCACTGCCTAGTATATTTTTAGCAGTGCATTTATAGAAACCTGCATCCCTTTGAGAAGACTGCTGGATGACTAATGACCCCTGAGGGTGGAGGAATTTGTTTCCATACAGACGGGATTGAGCTCCTGTTGTCAGATGAGATTTGTCTGGAAGCTCCCATGTTATTTCTGCTTTAGGAATCCCAATGGCCATACAGTTCAGTTTTACTGAATTTCCAGGCCTGGCATAGATGACAGGTGCTGGCTCACTAGTAATCCGAGGGGGATAAGCTATCACAATGACAGGCACGTTCATAATAGAAGTGCCGTAGTCACTGGACACCTTGCACAGGTAAGTGCCTCTGTCAAAAACAGAAGCTTCACGCACTGTCAGTGAGCCATTCTCCAGGAGGGAGAAGCGACCCACAGCCTGGGGAGCATCCAGGACCATCCCATTGGGCAGTGTCCAGGAGATCTGTGCCCGCTGGTTTGGCTGGGTGATGCAATGGAGCTGCAGAGTTTCTCCATTGATGATGCTCACCAGGTTGTTATACTGATTGCTGATTTCTGGCCTGAGTCCCACCTTCAGGAAGACAACCCGTTCCACGTAACCACCTGGGTTTCTAGCTGTACAGCGGTAGGTCCCAGCATCCCCTGTGGAAAGACCACTGATGTGTAAGATTCCATCCCGCTTATGGTAAAATCTGTGCAGACGGTTGCCACTCAGCACTTCCGTGCCATTGGGAAGGATCCAGCTTGTGGTGGGCTCAGGGTACCCCTGGACTGAGCAGTTCAGATTGATGCTGTGCCCAGCAATGGCAGTGATCCTTTCATTGACAGGGTCCCTGAAGGAAGGTTTCTCCAAATGGTCTGTGATGACGAGCTGCACAATCAGTCTTGCTTCACCTCCTTCGTTCCGTCCAATGCATACAAGCTGCACTGCATCTGTCTGCCTCACCCCTCTGATGTCCAAAGTACCGTTGCGATGCACAGTGATCCTGTTTCCATAGTAGGGGGCTGGCAGGATTACTCCTTCTGGAAAAGCCCACAGGACCCGTGGAGCTGGAATGCCTTCAGCTTTGCAATCAATAAGCTTCCTGCTGTCCCTGATGGCTGTCTCCCTTACAGATGTTATTGCATTCAGATGCCCATTGATTCTGGGAGGTTGAACATTGACATGGATCCATACTACTTTCCGATCTTCTCCAGCACTGTTCCGCACTACACAAGTGTAGTTACCACTGTCAGATCTTTGTGCCTTTTGGATGAGGAGGGTGCCATCCCTATATACCTGGTATTTTTCAGATAGAGTAGGAATGGGCCTGTTGGTTGGGGAAAGCCAAGTTACTTTGGGTGTAGGTTCTCCTTTGGCTTCACATGCTACTGTGACAACATCACCATAGGGCACATTAATAATGACATAGGTTTTGTTTTTGATAGTTGCAGGTTCAGCCACTACTTTGACCCTTACTTTCATCTCATCCTTCCCAATTTGGTTCTCAGCATAGCAGGTGTAGTCCCCTTCCTCTCTCAGTCCAACATCATTGAAATACAGGGTTCCATTATTGAAGACCACATATCGTTTTGTCCGGCTGCCACTGTCATCTGACTGCATGAAGGTATTGATCATGCTGCCATCTGGCAGACCCCAGGAGATCTCAGGATTTGGTAGACCAGTAGCTACACAGTCAACTTTTAGGTCACCTCCATACTTGACCTTGTGGTTATTCTCATTCTTGTGTTCTATTTTTGCAGGTTTCATCATTACATTTACTTTGAGGACCACATAGTCATCCCCAATCTTATTGCGAGCCACACACAAATAATCTCCTGCATCTTTATCTGTAACTGAATGGACAACCAAAGTCCCATTGCTGAATACTTTGATTCTAGTCTCCAAGTTACTGTAAGGAAAGAAAAGAGGACATGAGTTGCAAAATCACATTTTAGTAATTACTGAGTGTAACCTGGGGAAAAACAACAACCCAACAATATGGAAACACAGGAGCAGAGCTGTTGTTAAGACAATTAGGTGATCTGAAATACCCAAGGCAGTCACAGGAAAAAGAAAATGGAAAAAAATAATTCCAATGACTCATAACCAAACAATTCTACCCTGCTTTGTGCAGTGACTTTAATATTATTCCTTTATTTTGAATCCTCTGACTACATATGCTGAATTCTCTAACACGTCGTGTCTGATATACTCCATACAAACCTACATAGAATGTAACTCTGGAGTCTGATACTTCAGTACTCAGAAACAAATCAAGATGACCTACCTCCTCTGGCCTTAGGTTCAACATTTTTAATCCTCAGAAAATCTCAGAGATGCAAAATATTCAGGCTCAATAATACAGAGTAGCTAACTTCTACAGTGTTAATTTATTAATGATCTAAACTTCAAAATATGGCAAAAAAAAAAAAATTAAAAGTGCTAAAAGGCTACTATTACTTTTCAGTGCACTATGGAATTGGTGCGTTGTGGCCAGAAATAAT